CTTGCTTATGGACAAAGCATCTTACCGTAATTGCCAAACAGTGGAAAAAAGCTATCTTCCATTATTTTGAGCCACAAAATACATGAAATCTGTGCAGGGTAAACCTTAATTAGGTACAATTCCCAAAGCACTATACTCAGACCAAGAAAAACAAACAAAAACAAAAAATCTCAGCCCATGAACGTGCAAGATAGGTGCACAGATTTTATCGCATTACTTGATTTACTGATTGTCCCTGCCCTTCCTTCAAATCTTATGTAATCCTTGCCTCCCCCCAAAATTGCCTTTCCGTGCCCCAAATGTGAACCTGGCCTTCAAAGCTATTATTGAAATGGAGCAGAATGTTAACTGATATCCTTACAATCACAACATGTGGAAACAATCTTTTTTGTTTGTTTGTTTCTTCTTTTATGCAGAAAACGTTCAATTTTTAAGCTATCAAACCATGGTCTCTCCAACTATGGCCCCTTACTATTATTCTAGTGGTAAGTTTCTTTTTTAGAGTTCATAAATATCTAACATAAACACACCATACATACATACATACACATATACAAAGAGTGATTGATATCAATAAGAAGAAGGGGAAAAAAGTAAGGAAAAAATAAATCTTTCTGAGGTCCTGGAGAGTGAATCCATGAAGTCAAGGCAACAAAAGGATTTCAGGTCTTCCTGTTTGAGACAGAACCGCCAATTGTTGGATGTGGACTGGAACGTCTCATGCTGTACCTTAAAATGGGAGACGCTTCAAGGAATGGATCATGTCTCATGCAACTGTTGTTGCCTATGAAAGACAAAGGCCTTATTTTTTTCTCAGCTCCCTCAATCATCAACTAGAGATGATTACATAAGAAGAAAAGGAAATTAATGACCTCCTCTTCTCAATTTCCAAAGCTAGGTCCAATGTTGGATTAAGGCTAGGGCCCATGTTACAATAATGTTACCCTGAATGTTCTTCCTACTGTAAGGGCTTTTTATTCTTATATTCTTCTATTTCATTTTAAATGGTGTACAAAAAAATCACAGAAATAAAATGATCTGCTGATGGGAGTATGATATTTGGTGTAATTTCTTCTTTGCAGTTGATGGAGACCCACACTTTATGATAGCTGTACCCCAGAAAAAAGATGCCCTTTGTTTCAATATTAATGAGGAGCCAGGGGTGGTGTTAAATTTGATAAGAGATCCAGTTACAGGTGAGCCTTTCTTTTCTTAAACCATGATTGTAAATAAGAAATATACTGCACTGCTAGATCAGTTCATTATCTATCTAATTCCATTTGATTTCTTTGAAGTCTGTTTCCTTTGGATAAAAAATACACAAATAACATGTAAATTCTTACACGTATATATGCAAGATACAGATATGAATCAAAACTTTTCAGATTTGAATTGCTTATTATTTAAGTGGAATTAGGGGCTTTTTCTGATCTTGATTTACTTGCTTCTGGCATACCCAAACATCCCATTTCCATACTCTACAGTGAACTTTAGCTGCCACTGTTTTTCATATCCAACTAATACTAAGGAAGCTTCTATTGCTCTCTTCACAAGACCTGTTTAAGTGTTATGAATCCAGAATTCTTGCCACACAGGGGGTATATATACTGGTGTATTCACATCCTTAGGTTAGTTGCTGACAATCCCATATTCTAAAGTCTGCTATAGCAGCACAGGTAGATAATAGAAGTATCACTAGAGTACCCCAATACAATATAAGTATCTTCCCTTTTCAATCCATGAGGAGTAGTTTTTAAGTTTTGTCTAGGTTGGTATTGGGAAATTGAGCCATCAAGTCTATATGATCATATTAGAGATAGCATAGCTATGCTACTCCAAATGTTCATCCATTATATTCTTCCATTCTGTTATAACCACTTATACGTTGATTCCATGTCATGCTAGTATGACATGGAATCATATTCGCATGACAGGGTTGCCTAAGCTTATCAAAGCTTCTGCTATATCCTAAAATCCACTCACCATTAATATATCTCAAGATAGATTATATCCTTTAGTTCTGAGTGTATATACAATTTTGTTAGTTCAGCATGGCTGTTTATTTGTGCCAACTTTAGATATCAACACCTTGAAAGTATTGTAACAGATGTCAAAAGGTGAGCTCACTTCAAGGAAGCCATTGTAATTCTTAGGCACCAATCAAAAAGAGATCATCACAATAGCAGATTATCAGAAAAGTTGTGAATTTAAATCATGGAACATATCCAAATACAGTAGAAGTAGATTTCTTTTTTAATTGAAATGGCTTCAGAATGTGATGCATGTGTTTCAGAGCTACCTGCACTAGATTATATGACTTCTAAATGCTGGAATTACCAATAAATGGTCATTGCCCTTTGGAGAAGATACTTGCCTAAATCTGTTATTCTCTGAAGAAATAAAAATGAAATTAACTCCAATTAAAGGAGATTGAGAAAATTAAATTATTCTAAGCATAATTTATTCCACTAAATATTTCAAGATGGCTTAAAGTCCAAGCGGGTACCCATGGTTTTCTTTTCAGTACAAATACAATATTTTGGTGAGGGCCTACACTTTTAATTAAGATTAGGGGGGAAAGGAAATAAACATTTCATTTTCATTACAGTCAATCCCAGTTTAACAAAAATATGCAGTATGCAATTCTGCCCCCTGGAAAAGACATATTTAAAAACCACGTTACTTATACGTATGCCATCCCTTTAACATCATTTCTGGACTTTAGGTGTTACCGTTAATGGACAGCTTATTGGAGATAAAAAGAGCATCAACAATGTAAAACCACAGAATACATATTTTGGAAAATTTGGGATTACAACTATGAATCGGAATGTAAGGCTTGAAATAACAACTCAAAATATCATCCTTCAAAATGGTATGAAAAGGAGAGTATTCAGTTGGTTTCATGAAGTTGGCTTACAACACTCCGGGTAAGGTTTTATATTCCTAATATAGAAAAGTGTTATTCTTAGATCAGGGATGGGCAACTTAAAGCTTTTGTAATTTTCACACCTCTTGGTCTATTCCAAAAGCCTAAGGCAAGATACCAGATCAGATTTCTGACAGGTTATCCTTATTTCTTTGCAGAATGCAATGAGAGAAAAAAAGAATGTCAGGAAGAATGGTTGTTCCCACCCACTGTTTTTATGTCTAACCTCCCTTTGGGCTCTGCTATTAATCTCTTCTTGTTTCAACTCTGTTAACAATACATTCCCCCAACAGACCAACCCTGAAAGAAGGTTACCTTCACAATGAAAAAAGTTTTCCCAGTCCTAATATAAACAAAGTACGGTAGATTTAAATAAATTCTGCTACAGAGAAAGACAACATGCTATAACTTCCTTTGCAAACATGAGACAGGCTTTATAAAAAATAATTATGTGAAGCATAAAACATTCTATATGGCCTATGAAATATAACCAGTGAGATACATTTTTGAAATATATATTGAAATATATATTTTCAATATACAGTATTTCAGATACTTAATATGGCCTATATTTAACTAAATATGTACCCATGTTCTAGTTATCTTAAAAAAGTGATGACCCATATAAATAATGGGTGAAGTGGGAGGAGTAATATTTCAAGCAAGAATCTGCTTATGTCACTGAGACTGAGGTAAGAACATTAGAAATGATTATAAATTGACAACTACCTGTACAGACATCACTTACTTTGATTTATCTATGAAAATGTGCCATCCAAAAGTGTAGCAGATACATATTTAAAGAGTGGGAGATTTTCTAGGACTGGTTTCAGCTGCAATTCAGAGAAATCTAAGTTGAGAAATCTAATTTGATAAGGTGAGAAAGCTGGGCATTGTACAGGATTTTTATTTTTGAAACTGAACATGGTTGAGGACCAGAACTGTTAGGCTGTAGCAAAATTTAATGCTAGGCTTCATTTAAACAATACTCATGTGCTTACAGATGCCTTCTCCAGAAATGGTTCTCCCCTTGCAACCAATTTTCCTGATTCAAATCTTTGCATTATGCATACTAATATTCACTTTTTCCTGCTTGGTTTCTCTATTCCCACTTAGTTTGACACTAATGATCAAACGAAAACAGAGCGTAGAGGTTTCAATGGATAATGGAGCAAAGTTTATTGTTGTTCTACACCAAGTGTGGAAACATCCAGTACATCAAGATTTCCTGGGATTTTACATGATGGATAGTCACAGATTATCTGAACAAACCCATGGTTTACTAGGTAATACAAAGATGTTATTCTAAATTTTTTTTTCACTGCTTGTCTTTCAAAAGGCATATAGTCTTCTGAAATGGCATGAGGTTAAACTCCTGACTGACTTGGCATGAGATTAAATAATCAGTAACACTTGCTTTTTACATTTGTTTGTTGCCAGCAATGCAGTGTTTATTTCTGAATCGTGCCTTCTGCTATCATTGATTGTATATAAAAGTTGTTGAAGTTTTGGTAGGGTTTTTTTGGGGGGGGAGGGGGTTATGAGTTATTTCCAGTTTAGTTTATACCAAGCACATTCCATTTGATTCCTCTATTCAGATTAGAGCACACCACCTGACATAGACAGCAATAAATATATCCTGATGTTTATTTATTAAAGATCAGCAAACATAAAAACAGTTAACTGGTAGAATGGGGTAAAAGAAAAGCAGGGAAAGAGAGGGATGAACATTAGATAAAAATAGAAAATAATTATTGTATATATTGGGCAGCATAAAATTTAATGAATAAAATAAAAAGTAAAATGAATAAAATTATAATTTATTAACTGAAGACTATTTCTAAATAAAAAAATCTCTAGAACTTTCCAGATTAACTGAAAACTATTTTCTAGGGAATTAGCATAGACAATACTAAAGGGCAAGTTAATGTTTTGGTTAACCGAGATTTAATCCTTTAATGTACAGAATAGAGATGAAAGATGGAATCACCAGTTTATTCCATCTCTTTTCTGGGCCTTGAAAGAAACAATTTGGTGGACAAGGATAATGTAGCCAACCGTTTTGACTCTGGGCACACTTCCTTGCTTTTCTCCTTCCCATATTAAAGAAAAAACT